TTTTCAATAAACTTTATTTAACTAGATAATGCGTTATAATAAAACTTTAAATGTATCAAATACCTTTTTCTATTTTTAGTGCCGTTTTTTCTACAAACGTAGAATAAGGCGAAAGATAAAAAAATTGAAAAGATTTTTATCTTGTTACGCCAAATAAGTATAACTTCTAACTCGTGTACACACACGTTTTTTTTTATTTAAGGATACTAAAAGACAAGCTGAAACGGCAAAAAAAGATGGAGATGATATTGATGTGATTTTTGAAGAGGAGACTAAAGGTGTCGTTTATGAGGTGGAAGCTGAGCAGTCTCGACTAATGATGTCTATATCAGCAGGTAATCAAAATGCCTGTGTTGGCTTGGCTTCAGATTAGACTCTCATCCCTGAGGTGGTAGGTTCGATCCCCGGCTGTGCGCCAATGGACTTTCAAAGTGCGCACTTAACATTCGCGTTAAGGAAACCGGCTTGGCTTAGACCCGACGACGGCGTGTGTCAGACACAGGAGGCTGAACATCTACTTGCCTGTTAGATTGACAAGTGATCAAACAGATACAGAAATCTCAGGCCTAGACCAAAAAAGGTTGTAGCGCTATTGATTTATTTATTTTATTTAATAATAAGCCCTAGGAATGTACCGTGTTTAAGGTGCCAGTTCATCTTATATTACACTAATATTTTTCATAGTGCTAGCGGCATGTAATCCACGCATATATATAATTCTCAGCCGAAACAAGTGCCATTTCCAAGAGGCCCGAAGCTTGGATGTTGATGTGTTGCTGAAATCTACTTTTGTATTATTCGGTTGATCTTTTAATGTCTTCCTCGACAGTGGTAATTCCCAAATATTTAGCTACTACTATGCCTTTTCTGCGAAGAGAATTGTTGCTAATTATTATTATCTCAAATAAATGAAAATATTATACTTTTAATATGAACGAATGTATGGGCTACCAGGCAGATATGTTTATGCAACTGTTTACCTATATGTATGTCAAACTAAATACGTAAGGTGTAAGGAAAGAAATTCTTGTATATTTTTCATCATGAACACATATTAAGAATCCATATTGTTGTTTGTGTAGGAACAAAAAAAGTAATGCCTCTGGTTAATTCGGTGCGGTTATTAATATGTTCAGATATATGTCAACTAACTTTAGACGTTTAAAATATGAGCTTATAACTAACATAATATTAGGGATAGAGGGGTTGCGACGTTAACAAAAACTAATTTGGCTATCACATGAATCTATGTGACACTTCAATACAAGTACCGACCTTTTTGGACATTATCGGAAACAAGAATGTTATATTACAATTTATGAGTGTGGAATTAACTAATGGCTTCAAGTGTGCGACAATTTCGTTTCTAATTATTAACTAAAATATATATATGTAACTTGACTAATGTTAGAATACATCTCTAATCACAAGATTATTAAGTTGATTTGTGGTAAATTCTATAATTGATGAAATATCGCAATGTCAATGTAAACGTGATATAACTTACTAGCTTTTTATTTTATTCACTTGTCATTATAAAAGCTACTTTATTTTTCTAGTAAACATGCGTGGCTTACATGCACACTATGTAAAATATAAGTGCAATAGATGATGAACTGGCACCCCAAACAAGGGATATTTCTAGAAGGCTAGTGATTTATGAGTGTATTTATTTGTTATTAAATAAAATAAATAAATCCGTAACGCTATAACCTTTCTAGGTCTGGGTCTGTATTGGTTTCATGATCATTTGTCAATCAAATAGGAAGGTGAACAGCCTCCTATGCCTGACTCACACCGTCGACTTTCTTTTTCGGGTCTAAGGCAAGCCGGTTTCCTCACGATGTTTTCCTTCACCGATCATGCGAATGTTAAATGCGCACATAGACGAGCTCATTAGTGCACACTGCACAGCCGGGGATAGAACCTACGACCTCAGGGTTGAGAGTCGCACGCTGAAGCCACTACGCCACCACTCCTCTTATATTAATATTCAATCTAAGATTGTGGATTAATTATTGGGTTCGGGCGTTAATGTAAAAGGCAGTATGAATAGAATCACGCGCCAATCATGGAATTTGCACATATTTGTTATCGTGAATATTCAATAAAAAGTAATTGTTTGTAAATTAATCACATTTCTTTTAGTTAAAACATTCCCATTTGCACGTGTTTTTTAGAATATTTCTTGTTATAAACCTTATAGAACCTCGTGTTTCACGTGGACAAAGTCAAGGGCAACGTCTAGTTCAAGTTTTTTACAAATTAGTAAATCGCCCATTTTAAACTGGTTTAATAAAGTCTTACGTATAATTTTTTCAAATATGCTAATTGCTGTTATTAGAAGTTATTGTACTATAAATTACATTTTATTGGCATCTTAATGTGAGATTTTCAAGCAAATTTTGCTTTTAGCGAGACAAATACAGCTTTTAATAGCTCAATGGCAACGACAGTAGATTATATATACATTCAAATTAGAGTATATACATTTTTAAACAATGAATTATTTATTTATTCACAAAAAACTCCGCCTTTACAGTCCTGAGTCAATATGATAATGTCGAAATTAAAAATGTAATGTGTAATACATAAGATACTCAATTTCGCTATGGTGAACATCATAAAGATGTCGATATTGTCGGAGACAGCATTCGCAAAGTCTTTGTTAATAGGGATCTGTGAAACAGACTGGTTATGGCCCTTGGTATAGCGAACAACCTTGGCCTTCGCCTTGGACTTTTCACATTGCCCCTAGATACGAACAAACCGAGTTCTTGAAGAACACTTGGATTGCTCACCATCCCCCGCAAGACTTAGTAGATAGTAGGCCTGCTGTAAGCCCCGACTTCTAATTTATTTGTACCCTACCATCCCTAAGACGAATAATGTTGGGTATATCAAGGTATAGTAGGAACACATGCCATGTAATCTGTAATAAAGAAAACGGGTAAACTATTATTATATTTTTTTTTTCTACTAAGTATTTATTACGAAGAAGCTGCTCTGGTCTCTGGCAGAATGATCAGCGCTGTGGAACATCTTCTCCTCAGCATAATGCTGAGCCAGGGCCGAATGGGAAAAGGGAATGTTTTTTATTGTTTTTGATATCTCTCATTATATTTTTTCTTTGATTATTGTTATTTTGTGTGGGTTTTTGTTAGTAATAAATATTATGTATATGTCTAAACTAAAAGTACTAAGTGTGAGATCTATAGTGCGCACTTGGACTTTGCTCAGACTTACCTTACGAAAAACTTTGCATAGTGTACACTAAGGTTAAACTATGATTTCGTATTTATAGACATTTTAACGGTGAGATTAAGCTAAGCCCAAGCTAAGACAGAAAATGTCAAAATACAAATTGATGTTTCTTTTCATGCAATACTTTGTTTATTATCCTTTAAAAAAAGTTAACAATAACAAATATTTAAAAATCTAAAACGGTACACATATATCTTCAATTTATTGTTATTTATGTATTCATTTATTTTATTATTGCAATAACTAGAAATTCACGAGTAACCTTTAGAAAATGTATTAATTATTTAAAGATGACAATAATTTTATTACGTAGAACGGATCGCAATATTTTGGTTAGGTTATAGTTTGAATTTCGTTGTCACTATAATATGCCAATTGCCAGGGCTGCCAGGTGACATACAAAATCACACCAGTTATTTTTAAGATTTCTCAAAAATGGGGTTTGAACAATTACATAAATAATATAAATAAACAACAATAAATACCATAATAATGTGTAATTATTTTATTTCATGCATTTCATAGGTATTTATCAAGATCATTTATAATTTCTTTGAATTCAAATTCTATTTTTCCCAAAGTCTATGGAACTCCGATACAAAATGGCAACACCGTTCATTAAAAACCGACAAAAATAAAAAGTCCAGTAAAAGATATGATGGTAAAGCAAATTTTGGGCCATTATTTTTGTTAGGCTTATAGTCAAAGTTTTTGGTAAGTCGTCGATTTCGTGGACTTGAGATTAAGCTAAGCCAACACTAGGGAGAGATTCGCAGTTTGCTCTATAAATACCGACTGTGTCTTAGCTCGATAGTTAAGTCAGAGCAAAGTCTAAGTGCGCTCTATAGATCTCACCCTAAGTGTCATATGGAACTCGATTTTAAAATTCGATTCCTTATCATTTGAAGAATTTTGATAACAGGTCAAGAACTGATGGCATCATATTTTAATCTTATAAGAGAGGCTCGCAAATGTTCCATTGCCAAAATAAAGATAATTGAATGGAAGCTATCGAAATCTGGCTGGTGGGTTAAAAGGTACCACCACGACCTTCTTCCGTGTCTATGCCCCATTCATAAACGATCACCGCTGGATATCCTTCGGTGAGTATTTAACATTTCTCCATTAATAGGTCTCAATATGAATGTGTTATAAGTGTTAAGTTAATGGGGATAAGTAAGTGTTAAGTGTTATCGTTTTCTAATGACTCTCACTCTCTGGTCTCGTGAGGTTTTACTGCATTAATCCTAATATTGTTTTCAACAGTATTCAACTGCTAAAGGAGTCTCCGGCGTTCTCGCAATCGGATGTAGATACGTCTCTTGGGCGAACAGGAGATATTCAGGATATAAGAAAACTTCGAAGCAGTTTTGGTTCGGTCGAAGGTAATAAATCAAAATATATTTCATTAATATCCATTTATTGCATCAAAACATTCCGATTTGCATAGACATTATGTACCACTATTTACAACTCGTCTAATTAATATTAATGTAATGCTAACACGATTGAGCAATATTAAATTACTTGCACCTCATCATCCCATAAAAAATCTGCCACCCAGATTATTTCTTCATACTTATAAATAAAAAATTAACAATAATTTAGTTAGTACTGGTATCACAAATGCATGTATAGATACATATGTACTGCATAAATGTGCACATTTCCTACAGTTAAAATTATGTACCTAAATTGGTATTATTTCAGTAAGTACCTATATATTTAATTTTCTATCATGCTTTGGCCATTCGCTTGCGGGGCGTCAGTCGTACCTTGAAACCTTCAGCCCGTTTTAAGATGATATCAGCCTGCAGTTTGAAGTCAGACTCTTTAAGGTCGGAGTGAACGCGGAAGTTCCTCAAAATTGTCGACAGAATGATCTTCAACTTCAACATGGCGTATTTGCGGCCTGCAAAATATCAAAATTAACAAACCATACTCAGAAGAGACAGGAGAGTGAGTATTGGAAGGATCCAATACTCTAAATTGAAAGATGGATGATATAATTCAACTACGATAAAACCATAGTTTTCACGTACCAACACAACTCCTGGGTCCAGCAGAGAAAGGTACAAAAGCGTAGTAGTGACGGTTGGCTGAACGTTCAGGCAAGAAGTTGTCAGGGTCAAATTTGTCTGGGTTGGGGTAGATGTCTGCCCGGCGGTGAAGCTTGTAGGTAGCAACAATGACGGTAGTACCAGAAGGCACCACCTTGCCACTGGATGCTGTTAGTTGAAAAAAAATACAACATCGTAATCATTCTTTTTTAACGAAAAGCATGATAGCTTCTATAATTTAGTTTACAAATAAACGTTTTCAATAGATACTTACGCATTGTGACATCTTGTTTCAGTTGCCGAGCAATAATGGGTACAGGTGGGAACATACGAAGGGTTTCCATCAAGCAACGTTCCAAATATTTCATCTCCAATGTATCCTGGAAAGTGGCTGGACGATCGGAGTCTCCGAAAATATTGTCCAGTTCTTCAACTACCTTGTCTTGGATATCTTGATGGATACCCATTGCGGATAGGAAGAAACTGCTACCAGCGGCGGTAGTGTCATGACCCTAAAATAAATTATCGTTTGAAATCTAATCACAAATTCACTTCTATTGTTTATGAAAATAAATTTACCTCAAACATAATAGTGTCGACTTGTTCTTTGATTTCTTCGTCAGAAATAACAACTCCACCTTGAGCACTTTCTAAAAGAAGGTCCAGGAAAGCGAGACGTTTCTTCTGTCCAACTGCAGCATCATCGTCAACATCCAAATCATCCTTCAGTCCACTGGACTGACCGAAGGAAAGGCCCTCGACGGATGTGGTTTGGGTGTGTTTGGCAGGTTCTGAAGGCTCAGCAACTTCGTTCTCGAAAGAAGCTAATTTCTTGCCTGATTTGAACTCTTCCTTCTTCCTCTTGATAACCTATTAAATTATAGTGTTGTAATTACAAATAATTTAAATTCGAGTATTTTCTTTTTAAATCTCTTCCACATTAGGTAATATCTAAATCTATATAAAAAGTATAATAACAAGGTTTTATTTACATATATATATTATATATGTTAGGGTTTTAGTACCTTTTTGGTCAATCCATGAATGATGTCAAGAAGGTTGTTCTGCAATTTGGCATACTGAGTAAAGTTAAATAGGAGATCGGGTCGCAGCCAAATCTTTGTATGTCTCAAATGGAGTATATCACACATTTTCATAACAGCCATGGCGTATTCAAATCCACTTCGGTCCTGTGTGCTTTTACTTACACCCATAGCGGTTTCTGCAAATATATCGATATATATTCATCGTGGTGTACCGATACATTAACCTCGAAAATTACGTAACATAGTTTTCGACCCGTTTTAGCGAATATTGCCCATTAGTGTTACGTGCTATGCGGGGGGTCAGAACGCACGCCCTATTTAGGTATAGTTTTCCTTGTACCATTATGAGTCGCATGTTTTAGAGGCACGAACGTGGTTGACACTGACTTGTTTATAAACAACGCAATTGCATCTATAAATGTCGCGGTGTAGATTGCCCTATTTATTTCCTTCATATTAAATACGTGGTTAAACTAAGGCCTTTAATATTTCCTTATAAGAATATATGTGCTTATAAGATGTTAAGAACAATCCTTCAAATAAATGTAATGTTTTTTATACTGTATTTAAAATATTCGTAATGTTTTAGCTTATAGTATTTAAAAGCTTATTTAAATATTAACAAATTGTCCATAAGTGATTTTTGGCATGATTCATAAAGGTTGATAAAGTATTAAAATATTGTAGTAATTAAAAACGTCGAATGAGCGGAAGCAAAAAAATATTTTTTACGCCAATGTAGTTTTTGTGAATAATTGAATATTTTTATTATATTTATTGACGTCCATTAACAATAAAAGTTTTTCCATTCGTTAATCTTTTTAATTGGCTATTTTTGTATCTCGGAAAATCTTTTTACTAGCAAGTTTTGGTTTTTTTATGGAAGTTTATTTTATTAACTATGGAAGTTTTGTGGGAACATTATCGGGCATCATAAAAATGGAAGTATAGAGGGATAAAATGTTTGCCACATATACATATAACAGTCAACTAAGTACTAACATACCAAGTAAAATTTCCACTGTGCATTCACTCATGTAGTCATGACAATCAAATTCTCCAGTTTCTCTCTTAAGTTTGTCAACAACAGCTCTTGAGTTGGCGTTGAATAGATCGATAAAACTCTTCAATACGTTCAAATGGAAGGTGGGAGCAATAAGTTTTCTGTGAGAACGCCATTTCTGACCTATAAATTCAAATGACCTTTAATCGCCGTTAGTATTCGACGCGTGTATAGCAATATTTTGCGGCAACCTTTACACTTATTTTATAGTAAGACTTAGATGTAGATAGATCGATTAAAATATATATTTTTTAGTCACCCTAAAAAGACTTTGGTAATGTAATGTTTTTAATTAATCTTACACTATTTAATTTGTATCTAAATCAAATATAGCGATTGACAATTTCCAAAAGTCCAGATTCTTGTGAAAAAAATAAGTTAAATTTCCGACTTTTGATAATCAAACTTGGTGTTAGTTGAAATAGCTTCAAAAATATAATCGCTCTTGTTTATGGGATTACTTCGCTGAATCAACCAAAGATAAGTTTCCACCTACCAGTACTGATAAGAAGACCATCTCCGAGCCAGGGTTTGAAGAATTTGTACTCATCTGCCTTATCAATGTGAACGTGGCTGCTCAAGATGAGCTCGACATCGCTTGGGTCGTACAAGAAGACCAAAAGACGTGGCCCAATCCATACTTTAATGATACTGTCCTGGAACTCCTCACTTCGTTTTATCATTCGTTTGAAAATGTCTGAAAACATTTTTTTTTAAATAATTTATTTTTACACAGAAATATTGGCAATTATTTAAAACTGTAAATTCGGCAGTTATATTAAGCGGAGCAGAGCAGTGTTGGCCTAGCGGTTTCAGCATGCGACTCTCATCCTTGAGGTCGTAGGTTCGATCCATGGCTAAGCACCAATGTACTTCCTATGTGCGCGTTTAAACCGTAACTTAGACCCAAAAAGTCGACGGCGTGGACACAGGAAGCTGATACTTGCCTATTAAGCCCAGTCCAGACCTAAAAAGCTTGTAGCACTACTGATTTATTTAATTTGTATTAATAAATTATAACAACTTCAGCAATATAAGTTATAACTATGAATATATTAATTTTTGTATTCAAAAAGTACATACCGTCAGATCCACCAGTAAATTCCAGGGCATTTCCAATCAAGGGTAAGCCCTTTGGCCCCGCAATTTTGTCCGCTAATTCATAGAGATGCCGTCTGGACATACGCCAGTAGGCGTACCAGAGGACAACAGCTGGCACCAGAAGCACGTAGAAGAGGCTTGAAGCACCCCAAGTGCTGGCCTGAGCCACCGTCTCAGCAGCAGCGTAGCTCATCGTAACGTCCTTATACCTGTCAAGGATATCGTAATATAAATAAAGCTTGTTAAGTTTTCATCTACCTACTTAATAATAATTGAATTTTAAAAAAAATATTCGCCTTTGAATAATAAAGTATTATTAATAAAACATCACAGATAAAAAATCCTCATAATATTGTGTTGAAAAATTAATCCGCGTTGTAATTAATCGACCAATCTACGATGAATGATTTAATTGCAATGAATTTTTCTTATAACTCGTTAGTTAATAATCCTTTTATTTTAAATCACTAATTTTAACGCTTTTACTATAAAACGATAATTATAGAATATACCACAATCACTTTTGAAAATATTAAATACACACAAGTGACACACAACTGTGAATTAACCGAAGCACATCACACACAGCACAATGCCTACCTTCCAAGCGGCTCCTAAGCCCGCTAGCACGGATCCCAAGGGGTGTTTAGAACGTCTTTTTGACGACTATTTATGAAACTCACGCGCAACAACCTATATACACGCCACTGACGTCACTATGCTACACTGAGTGTGTTTATCGAGTCGTTATGTAAATCGATCTTAGAGATTTGTGTTATTTAAATATATTATAATTACCCTTATTATAAAAATCCCAATAATTTGACACAACTTTTACTTACTGCTTAGTTGAAGTTACCCTTAGTGAAAACAATGGTTACAAATGAATAGCAAATTTCAAAATTATCATACAAATTGCAAATTAAACAGTACGCCTTTTTCTTTCTTGTTTAAGCTGTCATGAAAAGTGACAGAATAATCTAAATAGTGTAAAGGAGTTTATGGTTCTGCAAACCCTTAAATAACTTAAAAACACACCAACATTTATAATTGTTTAATGTTTTAACTAAGCACTAAACTGTCTTTACCGTTAACAATTAGGTTTAAAGAAGTTTATTCTTATTAAAACAAACACGTCACGTACATGAGAAAAATAATAATATTAAAAAAACATAAAAGGTAAAATATATCACGCCACCGTCGTACCTTGTTATTGCATCAAAGTCAATCTACCAAAAAACTGCGCAGGCGCATTCAAAACGGGTTCACTGTTACTATTTCCCGTATCTCAAGATGCAAGCTATTGTAAATACTCGCTCCGAAATAGGTTATAATATTTTGCCACTGTATTCGGTTCTGATTTTAGGTAGATGTATGGTTAGTGTTACGGCTACATATGGGATTGAAGTTAAACGTACAAATTTGAAAGAAAGAGAGAAATTCAAAAGATTAGAGTAAGACTGATGGTTAAAGGAGAGCTTCTACGTGCCTTGAGATCCATCGTTCATAATTCAGTGCAACAATTCTTCTACATAATTATCGCAAAATAGGTGGCTAAGGAAACTATCAAATATATCTCAAGGTAAGATTTATTGAGACGTATTAGACCTACTTGTATGTTTACCAACGTGGGAACTACTCCCCACAGGGGGGCAATTTGATTGTTAAGGGGGGGCAATCGCAATGGGATGGATATAACACAAGGTGGAGACTTGAGACTTAAGCCTACCAAATTGGAACCTAATAAAAAATCACTCTTCAGCAAGGATCTCACTTAAATTAAATTTATAAATTTATATAATAAAATCTTTATTAAATTTATTTGGAATTTGACTTTCAGTTTCTCATATGTTTTGAAAATTTACTTACTGTGTTTGGTTAACAATTTCGTTGTGATTTCTTCCTAAAACCCAATAATTTAAGTTTTAGTAAATAATTCGATTTTTTTATATTAAAAAAGTTCTGTAATACTTGATTACTGATTGATAAATATTAGGATACAAAGCGTTTATTAAAACCAAAACATAACAATCAAATATACAGTATTTACAATTATCTTAACCGACATAATAATAATAAATATAATTAAAAATGTATAAAAAGAAAATTAAAAAAATAACAAACATATAATTTTTAATTACTGAATAATTTTAGGATGTGTGTTGTGTCGCTTTTTTTACAGGTATGACGGCTGTGGTTTTTTGCCAGACAGCCGGCATTTTTCTTTTTTTACGCCAGCGTATAGTGCATAACCGGATAAATAAAAATTAACAATAAACAAAAAACAGACTATATTTGATAAACTTATGCAATTGTTGTTCTGTGTTGTTGGAGGCTTTTTATATGCCATTGTTTTGATTAGTATAAGGTGGAAGAGATCGATTTAGAGCGATACCTTCCACCACCCTTCCTTACCATTCAATTATTATAATTAATACTGATGCAACGAATTAATAAATAGCATGGTTAAAATATTTGAGTTTTTTTAATAATGTTTGATTTGAATTACGATCTTAAGTTTTCTTTGTGTTGGAGAATTTATATTCATTAGGTCATGAAAAATATTTGCGTAAAATTTAAAATTCAAGTTTGGTTGAAGTGTTTGAATTACTTTGTTCTGACGTAAAAGTCGAAGCAAGATGTTATGAAGCCTTTTGCTATGAATATATAAAAATATTCTGGAGGTACCTAGAGGTAGGTATAAAAGATAATATTCAACATATTCTCAGACCAGTCAAATTTACATAATCTTTTGAAAAATTACGCGCACTGACCACGAGATTTCTATACATGCATACTTTTACCACAATTATCTTAATAATAAAAACATTTTTGGAATATCGCTGTAAAGAACATGTCGCCTTTTCTGTTTATATGAAACAACAGAAAAGTATATATTATTCGCAGAATAACATTTTATTTTTATATTGTTAATACGAATCCTTGTATTAAACAAGTTATAGGAATAACAAATGGAAATTTACAAAGTGAATTGCAGGTGACAGAGTTGGGAAAACCTTTAGCAAGAGACGGTTTCACAATAGTTTGCAATATTTTGCTTTGGTTCTTTTTTTGCACTTCTGTTACCCTTAGCTCTGTGCTGCTCCAAGGTTGTGAAACGTGGAAGGTCACGACATCTCGCACAAGCTTCGTTAACCGCTGCCTTCTCCGTATTCTGTGTATTTACTGGCCCTGGAAGATCGATCAAAGCACTGCCGAGAAACCCCGAATAGCCAGTAGATCAAGCGACGCAAGTAGAAATGAATAGGCCATACACTCCGAAGATTCCAATTATATCCCCAAGCAGGATTGGACCCCATAAGCCAAACGCAAAACCTGGTCCCAAGCAAACCTAGCGTCGTACAGTTGCAGATGAGGCAAAAAGAGCCGGATAGACTTGGGAGGGAAATACGAGGCTCAAGACTGAACGTGATGGAGACTCACATAGGACGTCCTCTTCCCCATCTAGGGGCTACAAGACATTAAGTAATTAGAAAGTTACTCCTCTTTTTGGGTTGCCTGGAAGAGGTTGCTTATAAGGACGCCCATAGCATTCAGCTTTTTTTATTTCAAACGCAAATTCAAAATAAAAAAAATACAGGTAACCAATGAACGTCAACAGACATTTATTACTAACGAAACACACACACAGAAACATACAACATAATTTAAAAAAAAAAATTTTTTTAATAAGTTGCATTTTAAGTGTGTAATGTGTGTGTGTGTTGTGGTTGTAACTGGCCCTGGCTTAGTATTATGCTAAAGAGCAGACGTGTTCCACAGCGCTGGTCATTCTGTCAGAGACCACAACAGCTAGTTTGCGCCTCAGACGCAAAAAAGAAATAGAATTTAATAATAATAATTACCGTAGTTTTCTTGCTTGAAGTGAGAAGTGTAAATATATACAGACTACGCGCTGTCGGATCTTTGATACCTCCACCTAACCTAACCTAAACCATTGATCTCTGTACCCATTTCCTTGATAATTTTTCCTTTTATGCTTGGCTTTTTTTCTTATGTTTTGGTTGTTCCTTCAGTGTATCAGCGAATATTTGGGATGAGAAACCTACTGAACACTGGGATTCGATCGCCCGATAAGAGTTGAGAATTGCACTGCAAGAATATAATGTATGGAGTAAATGTTGTTTTTAAATCAATTTTAGCCAGCCTAAGGTAAACCACGCCTTTTTTAGAGAGAGATCGCTACCACCGAAGTAACGTCATAGCAGAACCGTGACCATCGAGGACACTCTTCGTCTTCATCATCATCATCATCATCCGTTCTGTAGCAAGCTGCAAATGCAAAAAGCAAATGAAGAATGCTCATTTAGCTAGGAATCGCTTCGCCCTACGGATGGAGTCTCTTAATTTTTTCTAGTAAGAGTCTTTCAATACCCCCTGTATCGTGGCTCCATAAAGTGCCATACTACTTCAGTATAGCCCCAGACGCCCCAGCGCTCTGCTGAGCTTCGAAGTGGACTTCAAAATTTCATCGATCATCAAGAATGATGCATACACTTTTATGCCATAATTATTTCTGCTCCAGGAGACCTCAAGGTTTATGATATACCAGCGCCATGGCCTAGCGCACCAATCCTCTGTACTACCAATGAGGTTCCTCTGCAAGACTCGCAACACCCTGAAATATTCTGCCTTGAAATACGACTTATGTATCATCTGCATAACAGAAGATACGCCACCTAAAGGCGCCCCTAATAACTGAATAATAGCCGATGTTCCATTACCAAGTACTGAGCCCTGAGGAACTGCACACCTTATCGGTCATAGAACTACATATTTTACGCTCTTCAAGGTGCCGAAGATTAAGAGGAACCTCACGTGTGCCTGCGTAAGTCAAAAACATGGATTTGGCGTGGATTCCTATTTAGCATCTATTTGGAAGAAAGAATATTAGAGAAATACAATAACGTGCCTGTTCGCTCCATCAGAATGTCACGAAACTTTACTTAGAGATAATAAAATAACTATTCTACATGCAGGTCACGAATAAAATGGGCCGAGGGAAAGGATACCACTTAGCCTATTATTTAGGATTCAGTAGGTTAATTGTTTTGACGCAAACCGTAAAACTTTTGCTCTTATTTTACCGTTCTTATCTTGGTTGTAACTGAGCAGTTTTGACATGCCTTAGACCCATTCGACAGCGTGTATCTGGCATAGAAGGCTATCTTACTTGACTTATTATAAAATAAATGATCACAACCTAAAAAGGTGTAGCGCAATTGTACGAATTCGCCGTCGTTCGTGAGAGGATGAAGAAGATTAACGTTTTATAGAGATACGGTAGAATTACAAATAAGATGTAAATAAAACTAAGATTTTTTATTTAAAGGTCTACCCTTTTGTAGAGCCAGAGAGGTTTGGAAAATACAAAATTAAAAAGCATTTATCCTATAATATTATTACTAGATTCAGATAATGACGACCACGGCAATGCGTAGACCTAATTGCTCACGTTAGCCCCATCTCATAACCCTCGGACAAGTACAAAAGCTGGCGTAATATATAATAATCGGCTCAAAGATCTGTCTTTCCTCCAACTTTGATTTTGCTCCTTTTGGAGAAAAGACTAATTAAAGATTTAAGTTGGCGCCTGGAAGATAGTACCGGTGATCCCAGAGCTGGTGCTTTTCTCGCTGAACGAATAAGTATCGCAATACAGCGAGGAAATGCTGCCAGCATTAAAGGTACACTGCCAAAGGGACCAAAGTTTTTCATTTGTTTTAATTTCCTATTTATGCAATTTTAATTATTATTATTACTATGTAGGTAAAGAATATTGGTTTTAAACTTTTCTTTACTAACTTTAATAAAGGAGGTTACCTGTTATTGTTAGAATTTGATAATAATTAAATATATTGTATTCGAGGTATATAATTTTGACCGGTATATATCATCGTGGGTCTTCCCTTTAATTTTTGCTTATCATCTACTCCTTCATCTACGCCTATTTCGTCTAGTTCTCAGGGACCGGGTTGAAATTGTTAGCAAAACCCTAAGCTTAAGGTTCTATTAAAATTTAAAATTACGCCTTTAGCCTCGAAACACAATTATGAGTAACAAAATGTTTTTATATGTTTCCTTATTTAACATATATTTTTTATGGTATATGTGACTTATCTCATTTTAACTATAACCGTTTACAATGTAAATGAAAACCATAACACACTGTATTTTTTGCTATTAAGTAGCAGATATATGGAAATCTAAATTTTCCATTACTTTATAGGATGTTGCTTATTGATTTAACCTATGTTAAATGTGCATCAAAGATGTCGAGGCAATGGTACATAGAAAGAAAGTCCATTGGTGCACAGGGGGATCGAAGCTACGACCTCAGGGAAGAGAAAACGCTGAAGCCACTAAGCGAACACTGCTCATAGCTTATAAATTAGCAAAGTCAAATCAATGCAGTTCGAAATGGGACGATTTTTGAATTTGTATAATTAGATTTTTGAATTTGCAAAATTCGATTTTTGAATTTGTATAATTCAATTGTTTGATTTTGCATAATTCGATTTTTGAATTTGTATAATTCGATTTTTTAATTTACCCTATGCGACATTGTTTCAAAAGCAATAATTAATTCGCTACTTGTTTTTCCAGTTAATAAAATCAATTATGATAGTTATATGCAAGCGTGATGCGTATGTAGATAATTATGGCACTTCTACAGTAATATACGGCTTATAATATACTCGTGGAACTGTTATGAACTTTAGTTTGATTTTCTGAGGTTCCAGGACTTGCAGGCGATTTAAAAAACATAGCTCGTCCATTCTATCCTATATCTTGAGCTAAATATATTGAACATTACGTCACATATATGTCCACGTTATAATAATAACAATTAATTATATAAAAAAACTTCGCACAATCAGCTATTTAAATTAGGCATGCAAATGTCATATTTATTATCATGATGTCATAATAATAACCGTTAATTATAATTGCCACGCCATAAAGGCACCTTGCCTTTAAAAAACTTAGGAAGAGAGTATACTAATCCCTAACACTACGGCAACGCAATTCTTCTAGCAGTGAAAGTATCCACGGCTTGCTCACTCTTCTATCACTTAATATCAGATGAGCCTCCTGCCCGTTTGTCCTGTTCTATATAAAAAAGGTGACCCTCTTTCACTCTGTTCTTAAAATAAAAAAAAACATGTACTCGTTACCAGTACAAAATTAAAAAAAAAAAAACATTTAATTATCTTTTCCATTTTTGATTAAAAGTTAAGATCAGGATTGTGCGTAATTACAGTAGCTTCCTTTAGTAAGGTTTTTAATATCCTGATTTACCTTATATTATCATACAAATACATAATATGAATGAACTAAAGAGTAAATTGTCGATAATAACAATATAATCTGTGAGACCTTAGAAAATAGCCTATAATTAGACCGGCTGGTTGATCTTTGGCAATGCATAGATCAATATTATCTAAATATCTTTTATATTTACTTTATGGCATCTGTCACTTTACGATAGTTTCTTCAAGTATAATACGATAATTTAATTTTCTGACAGCTCAAACGTATCCACTTTCCACAAAATTAAAATAAATCAGTGTATCTGTTTTATGATTATTTATCAATCTAATCCTCCTGTGCCTGACACCGTCGACTTGATGGGTCTAAGGCAAGCCGGTTGTTCTCACGATCTTTTCCTTCAGCGTTCAAGCGAATTTTAAATGCACACATAAAAAGAAAGTCCATTGGTGCACAACCTACTAACGATCTCAGGGATGAGAGTCGAACGCTGAAGCCACTAGGCCTACACGTATCCACTTTCAATACAAATCACATTTCTATTCGAATGCAAGGTGCTTTCGTTGAGGTCCAAACGCCCAAATGTTTCTAAGTTACTTCAAAAATCGTTACTTTTCTTTTACGATAGATAGATAAGTAACTATTGGATATTATATTTGATTATGTCTGTGCTCAGTACTAACAGAGACTCTTGAGTCTTGACAGAGTTTAGTTGACTCCTTCACATAAAAAAATTGTCTATGAAGTTTGACTTTGATTTACATTGATATGCTATCATGATCCCCTACTTTCTTTTAAAATCGTTGATGTAATTATTGTATGTATGTACTCTTAATTTGTATTTCTTTTGATTTTTTTTAGTGCCACTTTTATAGAAAAATTCTAGTCTGTGGTAAACAGTTCTATAATTATAACTTGTAGTGTTTATAAATTTTGCATTTGAGGTCTGACATGTTTCCTTATTGAAATAAATTTTGTGGATACCTGCTTGATAAATTTTCAGAAACAGTTATTTTACTCAGTAGTTTTTACTAGTAATCTTTTGATTAGTGTGTACCTTCCACTTTAAACAAACTGGGAGGTTTGGTGTCATAGGTTCCTTCTCCACGTTTTTAGAAGTCAGGCAAAAACAATTGATTTAATAGATAGTTGATATTATTTAAGATAATATATAAGTTCCTAAAATACTGATTGGACTCCGAGAGTTTTTTACGCCATCTTTTTCTCTCGGGCCTACACTCTCTGTCTTCTTTGCCGATGAGTAGGGAGGTCTACCGATGCAAATTTAATGACGTGAAATAAGTGATACCTGTATCTTATATTCCATAATAAACATCTTTTATTTTATTTATTTACTACATAAAAAAGTAACGCTTCAACCTTGATCAATAAAATACATTCTGTAGTGTATATTACAATCTATTGTTAATAAGACTTAATAATTTAAGAAATAATCTTTTATCAAATGCAGCGGCAAGTAGGTGCCTAACACAGGCATGTCTTTTATTGGTTTTCGAAGTCTCACACGACCTCACGGTACACTGTTCTTTTGCAGATTAAATAGTTTTTAAAAAGCCATATAAATAAGTGCAGAATATGCAATCTAGAATTATCTCTAGCGCATTCTAATGCTTCAAGGAATTTATAATGACCAAGGTAAAACTCGTTAGAATAGTGTTGCCATATCCAGAGTGTAATTAAATGTACTTCCTATAAAACTATTTAAAATTATATATAAAATACATATATTCCGTATTCATTATGAAGCTATAGATTTATAAAAAATACAAGTTTTAATACAGGCCAAATCATAACATTAAATATCCAATTATACTTTTACGCAAAGTATTATTCATATGTAATGATTGATACTGCGATAAATGATTATGATAGCTAGTATTTACAATATCCTACATAGTAATAATAATAATTATTATTAGAAATAGAAAAATAGATAATTAACATAACTTTTTAAATAGTTATAAATTTATAATAATACATAACTTCAATCCGGTCAAAATAGTGTTTATTAAATAGATAATTAAAACAAAGGTTGCGTGTACTTATGTACGCGCGTAAGAAGTTATACTTCTTTGGCATTATTAAAAATAGTTTTTGATTGCATGCAAATAATTAATTACAATTAAATAATCAAAGACTGGAAAAGGAGTCATTATAGTCAATGAAGTTCAGATTACATTTGAAAAATTAAATAAATAAATATTTATTATTATTCTCTTACATTAAGTGTAACATAAATTCTATTATTATTTGAATGTCGTTTTTAAATTATGTCCAATGCCTTAGCATCTTCCGTGGGCAACTTCATTCTGTTAATTTTGTGTCACGGTGCGCGCACATCGTAAAATTTCACTCTCATCATTTTTTTA